TGTTAGATATGACAAAACTATATAACAATGTTAGATATGACAAAACTATACAACAATGTTAGATATGACAAAACTATATAACAATGTCAGATATGACAAAACTATACAACAATGTTAGATATGACAAAACAATATGACAATGTTAGATATGACAAAACTATATAACAGGGTTAGATATGACAAAACTATATAACAATGTTATATATGACAAAGCTATATAACAATATTAGATATGACAAACTAAATGACAATGTTAGATATGACAAAACTATATAACAATGTTAGATATGACAAAGCTATATAACATTATTAGATATGACAAACTATATGACAATGTTAGATATGACAAAACTACATAACAGGGTTAGATATGACAAAACTATATAACAATGTCAGATATGACAAAACTATATGACAATGTTAGATATGACAAAACTACATAACAGGGTTAGATATGACAAAACTATATGACAATGTTAGATATGACAAAACTATATAACAGGGTTAGATATGACAAAACTATATAACAATGTTAGATAATGACAAAACTATACAACTATGCGAGATAATGACCAATGTATACAACAAGGTAAGATGATGAGAAAACTGTACATCAATGTTCGTTGCTGATAAAACCCTTAAGATATATTCAGGAAAACTATACAGTTACGCTAGTTGCAACTTAACCATACCGTTATATTCTTTACCGACAAAAATATTCAGTACCGTTCGTCAAGTGACGGACAAATTATATACTTCAAATTATTGTCATGAAAAAAATATTGATAAAGAGCATAAACATCCATAACGAAAATCAAACAACAATGCTTCAAAATTAATGGAAAAGTTGATTGAGAACTTATAATTCTGATTACAATGGGCATTTATAGCGGGATACTGTCGACTCATCTTTATGAATGTACCTCAATTATTAAAAAGTTTGTGACATCGCTCGTCTTGGCAGATTTTATCTGTACGGTCACAGCTATATATATCAAACAATGTCTAGTCGTTTTACTCCTTGGGAGTAATTTGAGGAATCGCTTTACAGAGAATTTAGCTGATTATGACCAGTGTTGACAAGTGTACAGATTTTTCATGGAGACATTCTAACCGACAATTAAATATTCACTTTACAATAAACTCACATTTACTCGCGTCATTACTTTTTTGACATCTTTTTTAAAAATAATTAGTTCACAGATAACAAAGCCACTGAATTAGCCTGCCATCCGGAAACGGGATCGTATAAGGTGTACAGGCATGCGTCCGGACCTTTAATAAGCACACCAGCAGAAACGTGCCGCGCTTCCGTGTATTATTTGACGCGAGTCTGTCGTGAAGTACCCGACTGTAAGACTGTGATACTAGGTAAATACTATGGACCGTGTCGTGTTCTGGAGTGACACCCTACTCCTGCCATTACCGACCACTTCGTTCCCGTAGTAGCTTACGCCAGTCTACAACAATGGCTGCTGTTGTCAAACGGAGCGTGGCACGAGTCCAACTATTCCATTGATATCTTACCTGTGGGGCCCACAAGGGGGAACCGGGCGATACATCACTTACCTTATCATCGTTTCGTAATGCTGCGCCAAAATATACAAATGGTCCAGTACATGTTAAGAATTAGAAACTTCGTATTTTACTGGTATATGTTTGTACAGTAGATGACTGAATTAGATGTAAACTGTATGAATTAGTTTTTTTTATATTAGTTTTCAGCACTGTAACCGCATATGACATGGACACTATATCAGAGAGGGAAAAGACAAATGCATTGTATTTTTTGAATTGAGGCACATCATATGGACTCATATCCCACATCATGCTGTTTAACGTGACGAATTAATAGGTAGCCACCGTGCTGTCTAACAAGAAATAAACGCAACTTAGTTAATTACGTGCTGTTAAACACACGCGGACAATTACCGTTTTGTTCATTACGACATTGACACACCATAGTTAACGACTGTGCAGTTTAAGCGATATTAACATAACAAACCTTTCACAATGGTTATTACCGTAAGACATGATCAGAAGGAGGTGAGCCGAAAATGGCTTGTTGTAAAACAATTTAACGCCTAACCCGTATCTAAGTCAATCCTTACTGACCGAAATCCTATTTACATATAGAATATATAGACGAACCAATCCGTGGTACATGCATGCTATACCATGTTTATCATTCTGCCTGTATACACAGATATATCAGGCTGTATTAACAAAAATGAGACGAGTTGCATACACCTTTGTATACCTGATGATAAATTATGTGTAGGTCAAATGTTTATCTGTAACAATACATGCTGAGTTGAATGCATAATACACATTGTCGTTAAAACGAATTCTCTCTAATAAAAAAATCCATATTTATGCAAGATTAAATTCTTCCTGCATATATGTACATATAATTTTATTTATGTACCTACGAACGCAGCATTTAATGTATTTACATATACCTAAAATTAAACATTTGACGTAGGTACCTATGACCGCAGCATTTGTACCTAAAAATTAAACATTTGACGTAGGTACCTATGAACACAGCATTTGATTTATGTACACATGAACGCAGTATTTGATGTATTTACGAGAACCAATAAATGAAGCATTTGATATTTATACTTATTTTATTTTTGGTAATCTACATGCACCTATAGATGAATCATTTGATGTACGTACCTATAAAAGCAGCATTTGATTTATGTACCAGTGAACCGTCAACATTTGAGTATGTATATGCACCTATAGATGAATCATTTGATGCCCGTGCCTATGAACATAGTATTTTAGTTATGTACCAATGAACGCAGCACTCGATTTACGCCTCCGACAAAGGTGAACACGTATGTTATAATGTCAGTATTCTACACACGATTCTGGTATTTCATATCAATCAAAATTCAATTTTAATTTTTAAAGTAACATGTGTTGCGGCTTCTTGCTAAATTTGTGGAAAATCAACAGGAGTGATTGAATTCTTTTCTACTTTGGAAAGTTTTTGTCAAATGTTGATTTTCAAAATAATTATCAAAATAAAATTTAGCTCGTAAAAATCAAGCCCAAGGAGGCGACTAATTTGATTTTAAATGCATCTATGACTTTAGGTCAGGGCTATGGAGATGGCTAGAGATAGGGGTACATCCACGGCTAGCTGATCAAAGGAACTTGTCCACATACTCCCTTTACACGACTGATGAGGCTTGCTCATTACCAAAGTTATTTATCACTGTCAAAAATTACGTGCCCATTTTCATTGAAAAATCAATATTTTAATTTTAATTTTATTTTGACATTTTAAACTAAAAAAATGACAATATTAAAAAAACCTTCAACAAAGTATATGTATAACTTTGACGCGATACTTCCTTCCTTTTCTCTCGTGAGTTTAAGGCTGTATTGATTAAAGTTCCCCTTAATGGCCCCTCACCTTTACGTTAGGTATTTGTCAAGTGATCAGTTGCCTTTCCCGTACTGAATAGAGATATACGCCTTGTCGTCAAATGGCCCACGACTGTCACGTGCCACTCGCTAGCCCCGCCCCAAGCACGCTCCGCCGACATTATACATCTTTATTCCGAATGTCAGCCAATGAGAGCACGCGAACATGTCACCACATCACTACCTGTAAAAACTTCATCAACTGCAAAAGTTTTGCAGGTAACGGGGTATATAAGTAAGACAAGCTCCAAAGTGTGCCACAAATTATAGGGCAGAACGACGGAGCAGACGACACATAAATATATAGAGGTGCCTCGCGAATGTCTCGTGAGTGTCTCGAGCTTTGCACGTAACGGCTTTAATTCTACACACACCTGTGTGGACTCAGAAGTTTACCTGTAATTTCGACAATTCGCAGGTACAAGTTCCTACCGTTAAACCAGCGGCTTGAAGTTTCACTTCTCTAAAAATAATTAACCAGAAAACCTGTTGCTGACGCTGAACTGACTTCTTTTTCAATCAAAGTCGGATTGCTGGTTTTAACGATGAATTGAAACATCAATACGGAGTAGAGGGACATCATTTTAAGAAAGTGTTATAGAACTTTGTCGGAGCGGGCTGAATAATGATGGAGGTACAATCTCAACACCAGGACCATTGCGAATTGCAGCCCTACGACACAGCCAATATCTCCCCTTATGGCATGACGTCATCGTCGTCGACGTCGTCGTCTCCAGGTTCGATCATCTCGAGCGGCATGTACCCGGAGTACACGGACTGGGGCCACGTCCCACAGCCAGAGCTCCACCAATATGTGCCCTACCCTCAGATTCCCCAGACGGACATCGTGGCCCCAGGGTCATTCTGGCAGGGGGACATGCACACCGGACTACCATCAAATTTTTCTTACACCACGATGGAGCGAGTACCCAGCTACGAGTACAATACTGGACTGATGAACCCCGGGCCTGCTCCAATAGTAACCGGAACCGGAACAAACGATACAAGTTCCCACACGACAAAATCTGGCAAGTCAAAGCGGAAACGAGTGCAAAGTGTTCCACAGCGTAGAGCTGCAAACATCCGGGAAAGACGGCGCATGTTCCACCTCAACGAGGCTTTCGACAGTCTCCGAAAGCGTCTGCCGGCTTTTAACTACGAGAAACGATTATCACGAATCGAAACCCTTCGCCTTGCCATGACGTATATAGGGTTCATGCACGACATCTCAGAGGGCGAGGACCCAAAGGACGTGAAACTCCAGGCCTTTAAGTCTGACAGTGATATTTTTGGACAACTTCGAGAGGATGAGGAAAATCTGTCGACGTAGCTATAAACTGTTAAAGGTGACCCAGTGACGATTTTAAGGACGTGACGTTCGTATATACCGAAAGACTAGTCAATATGTTTACGACCGCTACAGTGACAGTGTATTTCAAGAGGTATTTGATCATTATTGTCCATAAGCTACCAGTTTTTTTCTCTCAACGTAATTTAAAGATGCCATACTACCATTGATGTTACTCATTGCATGTGGTCATTCTATTACAAGTCAGTCCTACGTACAGTTGGAATAAGTGTTGTAAAATAATAACAGAATTCTGTTATAAATTGGTGCAAAATTTATCGAAAATCCACTATTTTTATAACAATAATTTTCATTTTTCCTGAAATCCTACAATAGTTGATTATTTTTTCCGTCAAAACATAATTAGATTTTCTTTACTAATGCAGGAAGTGCAAGTTCATCGTAAAGGTGAACACGTGTTATGTTGGAATGGTCGTCCGTTTTAATGGACATCATCTTAAATCCTATACATTTTTATATACAAATCCACTAAGTGTTCAACTGGAGTGCAATTTGAATTTAAGCATTTTTATGAATTCCTGAAGTCATTATTTTTATGTACATTTTATGTGTTCAATGGCTTTTTCACCAAAAGTGCGCTTTATCTTTATGCAAAATGACATAATTAATCTTGTCAAATGTTGACTTTGATGTCTAATTTAACGTATTTTATTGTATATAATAAGTGTGTTTTTTTTGTCTTTTTGTGACAAAACAGAAAACATATTATCTTGTTATGGATATTATTATTTTTTAATAAAAACTATTACCAAATGTTTATCGTTGTAATTTGTATGTTCCGAATGGTATGCCAGTACACAAATTCCTCTATACTCTGCCAGGTGGTAGGGGTATGCTTGACCTTTAAACTTTGATTGTGCTGTGCCGTGACGACACAGCTGCTATACTGACTATTTGAAATTACGTCATCTAATAGGACAAAGAAAAATAAATATTTAAACATTATACCTTGAGCGAGAGTTATAGAATGCGTTACTGCCATGACGAGATTGGTGCTGAGGCGTTCACATTAAAACGTTTTATGTCACCGGAGCCAAAGGTTCAAGTGACGTACTGCGATCGCTTTTCGTCCGTCGTCGTGCAACGCCCATGAACTATCTTCCATGGATTTCTTTCAAACTTGGTAGGAATCTTTTGTGGTAGAAAAGAGTACACATTGTGAAATTGGGACTCCATTCCCGGCCCGGGGGCCCAAATGGGAACATTTACCAATATTTAAATCTTCTTCTCAAGACTCGGATGAACTAGAATCCAATACTCTTTAACGACCCAAAGGTCTTTGGAGCCTTTATCTCTATTATGAATTTCATTATCCTCGGGTCATCTGTTTTCCGTAGGGGAGGGAGTAAAGTCTACTATTGTTTATATAGGAAAATAGCATTGTTTATGTATTTTGTGACATAAGGATGAGAATCATTCAATCCCAGATGAAGGGCTAAACCAGAAAGATTTGATGTACTGTGACTGTTGTTGTTCAGTTTTGGTATATTTTGTCATTTTAAGCAGGGAATCATTCAAACTAGGTTGGAATAATTATGATGATATAGCAATTAGGTGGTATGATAAAGTAAGATCCTGACCCACCCCTTGGGCCGGAGGGGCGGGTCCCAAAGGGGGATAATCGGCTTCAAGTTCAAAATTCTTCACTCAGATGTACTAGAGTCAATTACTCTTCATCGATGTATAGGTTGTAAGGTGACCTATTTTATTACCCCAAGGTCATCCACGCTCTCTTGTGGGAAAGGGGGATTTTACTTAGGTTCATATAGGAAATTTAAAAAAATCGGCATAATTTGACAATTTTTGGCAGGAAACAAGAAACAATTCAGATTTTAGTGGGATAATCATGATGATAATAAGATTATAGAAAGTAATTTTATGATGCCCACCTGGGGCTGGAGGTGCAAGGCAAAAAGGGGAAAATTGGCAAAGAGTTTCCTCCGCCATAGTTTCAAAGGGGTTTTGCCGATCAACAAAAACTCTAGGCCTTAGAATCTTTGAGAACATGCTCAAATCTTGAGGACAAAATTTTTCATGATACAAGACAGAAAACGTGAGCTTTCAACTTTGAGCACGGGAACGGTTTCTTGATGTACTAGAATCAAATACTCTTCATAGATGGAGAGGTCATTAGAAGTTTTATGTAAATTTTGCTACCCACGAGTCATCCATTCTGTTTTGGGGAAGGGGCATTTTACTATAATTTATAGGGAGTTAACACTTTTGAATGTATTTGATTCATCTTCAGCAGGGAAAAGTTCAAACTTTGTTTAAATCACTGTTATGGAATGGCAAATAATTTATTTTAATTCCACAACTTTTCTAAACAATGCTTATTTTACTACTCTGGTGATTACCAAGGCCATTGGACCTCTTGTTTTAGGGAAGGCTCCCTTACACGCCCTATAACCCTTTAGGATACGGATACTGAATACACAATGGTTTTATGAACATGTAAATGTGTGTGTCGTCAGAATTACAATGGAAGTGTAGGCTATAGCGACGATAAACCTCTCCGATCGGTTTAGAGTATCACAAATCAACATTCACAGCGACACACGACCACCCAACAAGTTTTGGATATTCAATGTATTATAATCTTTTTTTGACTTTTTTGATTTGGAAATATAAGAAGTTACCTGGACGTCAATAATGGCTATAGATATCGTCGGTAGAGGATTGTTTAGAGTATGAACACAATATGTGTAAAAAGGAAGGTGAAGAATGTGACTTGCACATTCATTACAAATTATCTCCCCAGAAAAAATCGCGATCGATGAAAAACAAGATGCCTCTCTTTAACATCACAAGCCAATATTAAGTAAATAGTGAAAATGGATCAACAACCTTTCTACTAGAATATACACAGAAAACGGAACGGGCGACGGAAAAGGCGCGGGAATGAAAAAAAAACAACAGCTATGAATTGAATTAAAAAACATAAACTTTATTTATTTTACAACAATCATGAAACAAGTTATTTCAACTTTTATTAATCACTCTTGTTGGCCCGAATGGTAGCGCACGGGGTTCTCATTGTGGGAGGAAACCGGATGACCCGGAGAAAACCCACGTGATCGGCCAGGTGACCCCAAACCTTATGGGTTTTCTCCGGAAATATAAATTAAATGATGGTATTGTATAATTAAACTTTTGAACGAAAACCGCCAGAAAAGAACATAAGTGTTACATGTATATACACATGAAATTTCCAATACTTCAAACGCATAATTTATAAACTGATTATATTTACGAATAAAGTGGATGTTCCTGTATGCTCCTTGCCAGAATACGTCACTTCACTAATTACATATAAACAGTAACTCAGACTGGAAGAAACAGGGATTCCTGTATCCCAAGCAACCAACTCCTTTGTGATTATCTGAACTTACAGTGGATAGCACACTTGCCTTTCACCGAGGTGGCCGGGGTTCGATTACCCGATCGGACACGAAAAGGTATGGGGTCACCTGCCCGACCACGTGGGTTTTCTCTGAGTACTCCGGTTTCAAGACCCTCGCGCACTAACATCCGGGCCAACAAGAGTGATTAACATAAGTTGAAAAAACTTGTTTCATAATTGTTGTAAAATAAATAAAGTTTATATACATTTATAAGGTAATTTAAGGACATAAGCCTCTTACAAAAGTCTTAATATATTTACATTTATTTATTTATACCACAAAATCAAAAACGTTATACTTCAATCCCCCCACCGTGGACAAGATACATTGTATAATGAAATTTTGAAGTTTTGGTTCCGTTTAATCATTTCATATTCCGTTCCAGGTTTTGGTACAACCACTTAGCTTCTGATTTCAGGATGACCTCTGATAACCTTTAAAGTCATGCAAACAATGATCTGTTCGATGTGCTCTCGTTAGTTATATAATTGTTAATCCTTAATTAATTTTAAATGACGTTCAAATCTGATTTATAGTGTATTATCTTCATATAAAATCACATAGCCAATTCGGACTGATTTTATGGCCGAATCAAGTTTTCAAAATTTAAAAAGTATTTACGTTAATGAGATACGCTGCCGACTCCGTGCCACCAGTTGACGAGGCAGTATCCCCCTAAACTACACACCAAGTAACACTAGACTGCATCAGCACCACGCTAGTTACTGAGTTAACACACACAACAAAGAGGCCAGCTTAACAATGGACACATTTTGAATATTAATTTAGTGAATGGAATAAATTCCTTAAAAATCAGAGATACACAATTAGACACAAACAGGGATACACAATGGTACATAAACAGGGATACACAATGAGGCACAAACAGGGATACACAATTGGGCACAAACAGGGATACACAATTGCGCACAAACATGGATACACAATTAGGCACAAACAGGGAAACACAATGGTACACAAGCAGGGATACACAATTAGGCAAAAACATGGATACACAATTAGGCACAAACAGGGATACAGAATTAGGAACAAACAGGGATACACAATTGGGCACAAACAGGGATACACAATTAGACACAAACAGGGATACACAATTAGGCACAAACAGGGATACACAATGGTACACAAACAGGGATACACAATTAGACACAAACAGGGATACACAATTAGGCACAAACAGGGATACACAATTAGGCACAAACAGGGAGACCCAATTAGACACAAACAGGGATACACAATGGTACACAAACAGGGATACACAATTAGACACAAGCAGGGATACACAGTTAGACGCAAACAGGGATATACAATCAGGCACAAACAGGGATACACAATTAGGCACAAACAGGGATACACAATTAGACACAAACAGGGATACACAATTAGGCACAAACAGGGATACACAATTAGGCACAAACAAGGATACACAATTAGACACAAACAAGGATACACAATGAGGCACAAACAGGGATGCACAATTGGGCACAAACAGGGATACACAATTGGGCACAAACAGGGATACACAATTAGGCACAAACAGGGATAAACAATGGTACACAAACAGCGATACAGAATTGGGCACAAACAGGGATACACAATTAGGCACAAACAGGGATACACAATGGTACACAAACAGGGATACACAATTAGACACAAACAGGGATACGCAATAAGGCACAAACAGGGATACACAATTAGGCGCAAACAGGGATACACAATTAGGCACAAACAGGGATAAACAATGGTACACAAACTGCGATACAGAATTGGGCACAAACAGGGATACACAATTAGGCACAAAAAGGGATACACAATTAGGCACAAACAGGGATACACAATGGTACACAAACAGGGATACACAATTAGACACAAACAGGGATACACAATGTTACACAACAGGGATACACAATTAGACACAACCAGGGATACACAGTTAGTCACAAACAGGGATACACAATTAGACACAAACAGGGATACACAATAAGGCACAAACAGGGATACACAATTAGGCACAAACAGGGATACACAATTAGACACAAACAGGGATACACAATGGTAAAAAAACAGGGATACACAGTTAGTCACAAACAGGGATACACAATTAGGCACAAACAGGGATACACAGTTAGTCACAATCAGAGATACACAATTAGGCACAAACAGGGATACACAATTAAGCACAAACAGGGATACACAATTAGGTACAAACAGGCATACACAATAAGGCACAAACAGAGATGCACAATTAGGCACAAACACGGATACACAATTAGACACAAACAGGG